TATACACAATCAACAAAACATTTCAGTTAAGCAGTGGAACATCAGAAATCTGACTGATTGGATTTATTATAATTAAATAGTTTATTAATTAAGTACTAAATAAAGTAAATAATTTTAAAGATGTACATAGATCCTTTTTATGAAGGTATGTTTTATCTACAGTACACAGCATATTCCAGGGCTGAACAGAGCTGCAGCCCAAAGAAACTTTAAAATGTGATTAAATATTTGAATTACTTAAAGCTGAAATCAAAATTAGAAGATCATTTGCAACTCCCAAGCAGAGAATCAATTTCAACAAACCTGATGCTTCACCGGGAAGGAGTATTTCACCCAGTAGCCTAGTTTCTGAGAATCTTCTTCTTCATCCTTTCTTTTCTTCTCATGTTTCTTCCCCTCCTCTCTCTCCATGACGGTCATGCGCCGCATTCTGCTGTGGCCTAGACCTTCATTCCAAACCAGGTTGAAGAACACTGGTTTAACTGCGCATTCTAGGATAGAGAGTGCTAGGCAGAATTCTTTTGGCTTTGAGCAGAGATTTACTGCTTTCACCCAGTTGTTACGATGGGTCTGCCAATTGTGATGCATGAAACATTTAGGAATGTTTCTCTCTAAACTGGTTAGGGTCATCCGATGTGTAGTTACCAGGATGTTTCTCTGGCCGAAAACCGAACCCATCCAGTCAAACTTATTGTTCGCTGACAAAGAGAATTTATAGGAAAGGTACCTACGTTTGTCTCGATCTTCAGCATGCTGAGGCTTGTTGAGAGCAAGACGGTTACATGTGAATTGATTCTTATATAACTTGTAGGTGCCTTCCAGACCAAGTTTAAAGAGTTTATCTGCAGAACGTGTAACTGGCCCATTTGAGGACTTAGTGTTGTTATCCTTCTTATTTTCAACTTTCTTTATCTCTCCCTTGGAGTTGATAACAAGCACCGAAGAGTCTTCCTTATTAGTTTTCTGATTAGTGGGTGCTGATTTGGTAATTTTAGGGATATTTGTTGAATATGTCACGAAAGGTGTAGATTTTGGTGGTGGTGGTTTGTAATTAGGATTCCTGGAACGTGTCATGATAGAGTTTTTCTTGGCCGTTACGTCATTAGATTTGCTGTCTTCTGCATTCTCCTCAATTGTATAGGTACTCTGTGAGCCATCAATGTTCATGACAACAATGGTTCTTTTTTTCAACCCACTTTCATTCAATGAATCTGAATCCTTGTTATAACCCTTTGTTTCCCCAGAATTCCCTTCTTGCAAGTCTGTAACTTCATTATTCTTTTCTTGTGATTCTTCACTTATGTTCTCTGTTAATTGCGGGCTAGACTCGATGTCTTTTACTTCAATACCATCAGTAGACACAGTTGTAGTCGATGAGGTTGTAATGTTACTTGTCTGTGTAGTAGTTTCCGACATCACAACTTCTTCTGAAGTCTGTTGCAACTCTTGTGAAGATGACATAGATTCCTTGGTCTCAACGGTTGTAGTAGTTGTAGTGGTGGTAGTGGTTGTGGAAAATATTTCTTGGGTCTCCATTTCTTCTACAGCTATTAAATTTGAATCTTTACTCACTTGTCCTTGTTTGTCACCAGTCATTTCTGGATGTTTTGTTACAAGATCAGGTTGTCCTGGTGGTTGTTCTTTTGTGATGGTGCTACCTTGTGTATCATCTTCTGGTTTTTCTGAGGAAGGTTCAGGTTCTTTAGACACTTGGTCATCAGTGTTGTCTGTAAGATGATCAGTTTCTTTTTTCAAGCATTTTTCTTTCTCCTCTGCTTTCTTCAATTTTTCTTCCTGTTCCTGCTGCCGTTTCTCCTCTTCAGCTCTCTTTTGCTCTTCTAGTGCTACTAATATTTTAGCTGAAAAAGGCAAGATAACATATGATGGTCAAATCATTTGCATGAGGTGTGTCATTGACAGAAAAACTTGGATAGCAAAAGGCAACAAGGAATGAAGGAAATAAAAAAAAAATAATAAAATTTATTAACTGAGATTAATATACTACAGTAGGACCTTTAGTTAGGAAACATGTGAAGTAATGCACTTAATTAGGTAAGAATTTTGCTATACCTTGTACAGCCAATAATGATGATTTCGCCACAAAATAATGGCAATAAAAAAAGAAAAATTCTGTATTTTTACTATGCCCGCCACTGCCTTTAAAATGTCCAAAAACCAATTAAGTATATTTCTTCCTATTATTATATAAACTTAAAGCATTTAACCATCCCATCACTACACCATTTACATTCACCAATGAAATTTTATTATTATTTTCTCCACCGTCTAGATGTTTTTGGCAAAACTATTTGCTAAATAAGACATCAAAAATTTATTTGTCTTTTTTTGCACCCTCGTCTAACGATCTTAAAAAAAATGAGTTTGCAAAACAAGGTATAAAAACAGTTTTGACTTACTATGGGTCATTTAAGGGGTGCACTGGTTAAGAAAAAAACATGTTCTGCATTGGAATTTGGGGCATTTTTAGAGGACAATAACTTCAAAAATAACAACAGATATTTGACTTTTACTAATCCTTTACTGTATCTTATGTATTTTTTATGTAATTTTTTTCTGATCATTATCTACAGGTAATGTGTTTGTTTTTTAATAATGGCCATTAATTAAAGTTTGTCCCTTGGTATTTTCTACCCACTTTCTGTGCATGTCTCAATGGCCTATTTCAACAGCCTTTGAAAACATAATTATTCTTACAAAGTTATGTGCTCCAATTAGAGTAATTTGAGAAAGTAGACGTCTGAATTTAATAATATTCAAAACCTAATGATAATTTTACAGCGAAAAATGATAGTTTTATTATATTTATAATAATTATCCAGTTTAAAAAACAGGATGACACATCTTTATATTCAATAATTTCTATGCTCAAGTTAATAATCTGCAAAATGAGCAGGTTAATTAAAAAATTTATTCCAACTTTTTTATCAGTTTCAACTTTCGGAGTGGCAAGGGTAATAACATGGGTAATTTCAAAGTGCCATTAAAGCAAAAAAACTGGCTAAACCAGTGTCTTCGAAATAAAACAATGAAAAAAAACCCCCTGAATTAATAACCATGAACATACAGATTCAGTAATATGTCATAGCGATGTGGAGCACTGGTATGATTTTGGTTTTGAGTCTTAGGCTGATTACTTCTTTGTGTTCTGGGCAATGTCCCACAAATTTTGGTGGTGTTTGGAAAACTTACTTGACCATGACAGCACCAGCTACATGTAACTCAATTCTGTCTCTTAAATAATAAAAAAATAATAATGATAAAAATATTAGTTTATCACCCTCGCTTGCATTTCTTCTATAGTATTGGAAAAAAAATTTACATTTTCTTTTTTTAATTTGTTAAAATTAATTACAGACTTATTGCAATTGTTTATATTATCTCAATCATGTATTTTACTTTGAATATCAATGCACTAGCTAACAACCCAAAAGTGATATTTGGCTTTTAGCAAATAAAAAATAAAAAGCCTCCCTCCCTCATCACTTTTTCAGCCTACAGTAAACAGTATAGGGTGATAAACTAATAATTTTTTTATAAGGCCTAATAGACATTATGATAATTTGAAACAACTACTTTGTAAAATTACAATGAAGCCATACAGTACAATAATCATCATTGTACTATGATTTTGACCACCACCATTGCTTTGTTCTCAATTAATAGCTGGCAGAAGCTAATTTACAATTTGTATTTTTCAATCAGTTTAGGCCTACTACAGTATAAGACTGAATGATTCTAAGCTCATAGAAAATAAATATTTGCTTCGAAGCAGCCAATTCATATTCTTGACAGCAATTAGACCTCTAAAATGTCATTGTTTGTCAAAAAACAAGGGCCTAAGACGACTGAAAAGTGGAGTTTCCTTCTTTCATTCTGCTGGGTAAAATCAATTACTTTACACTGTAGGCGACGTTTGTAGACTAACCAACACGTACCAAAGTCTGCATGTCGTGCTAGCCTTATCCTACTCTAGGCCTAGACTAGCTAGGATGTTATAGGCCTAGCCTTGAAGAGACGAAGGTCCCAATGAAAAACAACGTCGCTCCTTGATAGCTAACTTTGTCTATTTAACATCACAATAATTCATTATTAGACCTATAGTTGTTTTTTGAATTGTACTCCACAAATCTCAGCCGATACCTTGCGCAACTCGAGTAACGTCTCGTATCTATTGTCGTGACGTCATGGCTCGCTAGCTGGCTCACACCTGCGATGTCTCGCACATGTGATCAAATAACACACTGGCTCGCACTTTGGCAACACTCTTTGGCAGTCAACTCGCTCCTAGAAAACCCGCCCTTGGAAACTTGCCCCATATAAAAATGTACACTTCCTAGACCATGCAGTCTTCAAAATAAAAATTGTAACCTTTGGTAATCAACTACATTTTCCACATACATAGGAATTTTTGAAACTTTATTAAAAAAAACCTAAACCATAATTCACCACTATACAGTACAGTAGACACTTTTTGACAAAAAAGAAAAATTACGACTTTGTTACCCAATGAGAAGTGTTCTAATATAGACAATGGGTCGTGTCTCATATTATTGGTGATCTGCTCCGCTAGTGGATCACCTCTTGTTATTGTCCGAGACCTTTTTTTTTTTCATTCTAGGTTCTCCACATTTCTTGTTAGCACGATATCTAAAAATTGGCACGAGATTCATACATGCGCACTTCAACGAACATTTAGCTTGGCCTGGAATAGTCACAAAAAGGTTTTCAAAGTGCGCAGTTATGCGTGACGTCATCTACGCGCAATTTTGCGTTTTTACATTATCGATCATATCAGCCTAACCAATTGCCATTTCGAAATCCTATTAAGTGAGCATTAACTTCAAGTCAATGTTAAATGTAATTTACACTAATTTTATGCGTGCGAGTCATAACGCGCGCGTACTCGTGCATCAAACTTTTAAAATGCTCGACATTTAGTTTAAATTAGAGCATGTTTCAGGCCATTTTGAACATTTCAAATTTTTTTGAAATTTACCACTACGCGTGCGAATTTTTACGCGCGCAGCACATATTTAAGCTAGAAATTAATTTTTTTTGTCACATTTAGGGATCCTGACATTGTTTTAACAAGTTTCCAATCTTTTCAATCACTCTATGGCCAATAATAATGCTGTATACACGCATCAAACATAGTGACCTTTGTGCGCATTTGTGCCGATATACAGTGAAATTTTGCTAAAATCAGGCCTAATTTTAAACAGCTCTTTAGGATTAAAGGTGACCCCCAAAAAAAATAACTGAATTTTTATATGATAAATACTATGAATGATCATTACTCCTTCACCAACAGGTGTTTGTCAATGAAAGTTGATACATATATATCTCATATCAGGAGACAACAGTGACATTAAGATGTGCACGTGCGTCATGACGTGCGTGTACGCATGAGTAAATCTTTCAAAATGCTCAAAATCCTTTTTTAACAAACTAAATTAGCGTATTTTGCCAATTATTGTTCAATCCGCCACGCGCACACTTCCTCGTGGGTCAAAGTGCGGCGGATCACCTAACTCGTCCTCAGTGACGAATTCAAATGTGGTTAATTTTTTTTATTGTAGTTGGGGAACTGCTACTTATTATAGTTGTCGGTCAGTATAGCATCATTAAAAGAAATTTATATGGAATGGCCTGTAATCACATTTTAATGACGAATTCACTTCATGCACAAGTTTCAGGGTATTTAGCCTACTATATAAAAATTATATTTTTTAACATTTTTATGATGCGCATGATAATACAATGTAGACACGAGACATAAAAAGTGTGCAAGACCCGCGCATTATGCATGACAGTTGGCAGGTATAGTACTGTATATAAATTATAAATGACAGTTTGCAGTCAAAATTAGGCAACAAGTTCCTTGTTGTGACTATGACAACAAAGTTTATCTTATGTTGGGCAACCTTCTTTTATACCTTGTTTCGCGAACTTAAATTTTTTAAGATCGTCAGAGAAGGGCAAAACATAAAATTTTGGTTTTCCATTTAGCAAAGAGTTTTGCCAAAACATCTACAATAGACAGAGGAGAAAATAAAATAAAATTTTTTTGGTGAATATAAACAGTGCAGTAATGGAATGTTTAAATGCTTTAAATTTATATAATTAGGAAGTAATATAATCTTATTTTTGGACATTTCAAGGCAGCAACTGGCATAATAAAAATAAAGAACTACTTTTAATTTTTTGTAAATTTCCTTTTTTTTTGGTGACGGGTGTGCGCTAATTGGCCAAAAATGAAATTTTTATTGAAAATCATCATTATTGGAGGGCGGGGGTTCGCTTAACAAGGTATAAAAAAAGTCAGGCTTAATTTTAAAAACTTACCATTTGAATCATCTAAATATGATTTAGCACTTCCTCTTGCCTTGTTGGTGAGTTCTTCCGTGATCTGCACATGCTCCAGAATCTCCGGCATACAATCCGTCAATACGGAGCACAAGTTAGCCTCATATTCATAAGGATCCAAGCACCGCATCAAGGCATCAATTTGCACCTTACTACTGTAGTACCAGCAATCTGTTTCCGATTCACTGTACCAAAATTAAATTAAAACGATAAAAAATGTCAATATGAGGCTTGCCATCCTGAAAATCCTGTTAAATTTAATAATTTGCATAAGAATGTGGCAGCATTGTATACTGTACATTAGTACAGAAGAGCAATAATAATACTTAAAATACTCATAACTTAGGCAATAGCGGGGAGCTTTCGATTGCACGACGACGGTAAGACGTAGAAGGTTATGACGTCACTAAAAGTCATCTGCGAATGCGAGAATGTTTCTGGAACGCAATTTGGCTAAATCTACATATACAGAGAACGAAGGTCACCAGGTAGGACGGTTACGCATGAGTGATTCCGTTCTAGCGTTGCGTCGTCGCACAAATTGAAAGCTCTGACAGTAATATTGAAGGGAAATAAATCAGTAACCAGAGACAGGAAACAGAGTGCAACACACCGCTAAAAGTCAAAACCAAATTAATTCCTGTCCTGAAAATAATACATTCTGGAATACAATATGGCATAATAACATACAGTTTACAGTACGTACCGTAGATGCATACTGTAGCTATATAATTCCATTTTAATTTGTAATACTAATTTAGAGTAAAAAAAAAAAAAATTAAATTCCCGACTTACACAAAAATTCTTCTGCAAAGGAAAAAGTACTTTCTTCCAAGCCGGTCAAAGCCAAGGGGTTCTTGACGTATAAGCATTCCACTTTTTTCAATATCTGATAAACAATCATAAACACCTGGAACTTTGTGCGCTAAACAGACCTCACACAACCAGTCTTCATCCGGTACCTCCGTCATATTTGGATCAACGCACTGCAGATGATATACAGCTGAACATGTCTCACAACATATTAAATCCCCAAGTCTATGACATGATCGACAGTGATCATCATATGTTATAGCGCCCTCACTTATAATTTCCTCCCGAACTTTATTGGTTGCCAAAAACTGATCAGTAAGAAACTTAAGAACTTTAATTTTGTCTTTTGGCGGATGAAATGGGTACTGATCAGTGAAAGATGTTAATATTGGCAGAAATTCAACATCGCATTCTATATAGCTACGCACCAATTCTGGCCATGTCATGGCATCAAGGAAATTGAACTGTACGTTTATACTGTCTTTGACATCCTGCGGTCCAAATGTAGTGCCATTCGCTTCCTCCTCCTTCATTAGGTTTTTAAGCAAGGCCATATGTGTTTCAGCGAGGAGAACACATTGTTCTTCACTTGCAAGTGCAGCGCAAAAATCCTCAAATCGAAACGGAGACAGACGAAGTTGCTGAAAAAAATGCCGCAACACCTCATAAACTGACAGCGCATCGAGAATAAGATCTCTTGGCAAGATTAGGTCATCAGATGTTTCTGGCAATTCAAGTGGTTTTACCTCCTGAGAGTCTAACCAAATTAGTGGAGATACATTTCTAGAGTGTCGATATTTTCTGCGACCGGAAGATGGTGAGCTACCTCCAGAACTTAAGCTACTTTCATCCCAGGCTTCACTTGCAGCATCTGAGTCTGACTGATTTGAGTTCACTTCATCAGACTCCTCAAAGTCAGACTCCAGTGTTTCAAGATCTTCATAATTTTCATCTTCACTCTCATCATCATAAACAATTTTGGATTTTGGTCCCTTTGATGATTTCCCTTTCCCTTTTGTGTTCTTTGTTTTTGCCTTCTTTTTTGGCTGGGAATCTAAAACAACTTTATGGATAAGCTCTTTAGTTTTTCTTGCCGCAACTCGTCTACTTTCTCGACGGTCAGCACGTTGGCTAGCAACTGAAGAAGCACCTACTGGGGTGCTGGATCTCGAACTTCCAGGGCTTGCACTTGCACTGCTTGCCTGTGTTTTCGAGCGCTTACTTACTGGTGTCGCGTCCCGGGAGCCAATTGAAAGTTTTGATCCTCTCCCACGTCCTCGCTTCATCGTTTAAGGTGAAATCTATGCTAAGACTTAAAACTCAAACATTCAACAGTGTCATTCATAGCATCTAGGCTGGTGATACTGTTTTGCCTACCGAGATTTCGGCTGTCTATTTATAGCGACCATGTTGAATTTTGGAGCGAGTCCGCCATTTTACTCACAGAATAAATCACGTGACCAATATATACCTCTCATTAAAACGCGAACGCCAAGCGAGTTAAGAATATTAGTCTATTTGTCCAAATAACTTTCAAAAATGTATTAATATCATAACACATAACACTGTAAATAACGAAGTATTAAAAAACTAAATCAACTGCTGCAAATCAACTTTGCTTCCCTTTGTGTTAAACATGTTAACGCATCTCGATACAAGCCGACGAGCCATATGAAAAGTTCTCTCATTGGCTAATCAAGGCTAGTGGCAAAAGAAATGTTTTATATTTTGCTGCCGCAAGTATGGTATGTAGATATTTCCCCCAATACTATTTACGGTGTTTTAAGCAATTTGGCGTTTATACTTGTCCATGTAATATTCCTCTTTATGAACTGTTGTTTACATTTTCTGATATCTGTATCATTTTTTAGGACAATGTTATGATTCCTTAGAAATGTGATTTACAATAAGCCAATCATCTTTATTGTTCAACTGGAGAAATTTAACGGCTGTGCCGAAGCCTAGGCTACCGATACCTCTGAAACACGTGCCGTGCATAGCGGGTATGCAGCACAAATCGGGGTCGCTACGTGTCTTCTTTGACTCGCTGGGTTAAATTCAGTTTTTCTGAGATTGTTGAAAACAGCTACAAAATGACGATGTACAATGTTGCACCTTACTACCAATTTTGTTCTTCAGATGTAGAATTTCCTACTACAATGTACTCTTTGAAAAGTATTCATTCAATTGTAAGCCATCATTATTTTATGGGCTATAAAAAAAAGGCCTATTTTAATTAATTTTTTAAACCACAGATCCTATCAGCACTGCAGTCCAGATTAGGCCTAGAGTAGAGCCTATTGACACTGTACTATTATGTGCTAGCTAGCCTGCACAGTTTGTTTTTCCCAGGGTCTTTCAACAGAGATAATTAGGCCTAGCCTAGTACTACAGTGGCTAGTTTAGTTAGATCTAACAACAGATCTAACCAGGAAGTGAGCATCTTCTTTATGACTATTTGCTGGCCTTTAATGTAATGAGAGTTAGGCCTTTTGTATTTTGATGTGTAAGCTACTGCAAAAATATATTTATTTATTTTTTGTTTGTTTCACCTCTGTATAGCATACCTAGCCAGAGAGATACTACAGTTTTCAAGTTGCTAACTAAACAATAAAATTGTATTGTATGTAGGCCTAATAATACTAATAGTTGACTATCAGTTATATGCGATTGTTAAAAGGATTTTTTAATGAAGGTCATTTATAATTCTAGCCCCATTGTTGCTGCTGGTTCGGTTGGTCAGTAATCTAATTAAATTCATTAGGCCTAGGGCCTAGTATTATATATAAAGACAGCCTAGTGATGTAATAATAATAGTAATAATAATAAGATTTATAAAGCACACATCCCATCGCAGTAGTGCTCAAGGCATGTACAGGTAATAGATAGGCACATATGCCAATTTTTGTATACAGTATTATATAGTAGTACATTTTTATTATGATGGCCACATCATCACAGGCATGCAAGTTGGTAGTAGGACATTTTTATTATTCTTTGGAGTTGTCAAGTCTAAAACAGTCACAATGCCCTACTGCACCATATCTTGGTGCTCATTTCGCATAATTCTGGTACAGTCACTGCTGTATCGCTACCGTATACTAGCCACATCATTTTTGTTGTGTTTGCCACTCAGTGTAGTGTAATCAGGTTTTACAAACAATTTTTAGCTTCAAAGAGGAGCTCTAGCAACACTTGGCTGATTGAATAATTAGATCTTTTTTTAGATCTACTGCCTATACTGCCCTCATGAGGCTGATTGATTAATAGTTAAATGATTAATAGGTCTTTTTTTTTTAGCTCTACTGCCTCTATTATATTGCCCTCATCGGAGCTTTTGAGATTACGAGTACTTGTTTTAATACTGTATATTGCTATTCCATAATCAAATGTTCCCATTAACAAATTTTTCTTACAACATACACATAAATTTAACTTTTTTATATTTATTGTATAAAAAGTTTACAAAAGTTATTTGATTGTTTTAATTAATGTTTTTAATTAAATTTTTTGTTGTGATTTTTTTCATTCATATTTTATGACAAAGAGAATGTTATCTTCAAGGAATTGAATGAAATATTCTTTTTTTGTTCTAGGGTGAAGGGGAAGATGACCCTGCCCTTTTAGAGCTTGAAAGACGACAAGAAAGAATCCTCCTGGATTTAAATGCCCTAAAAAATGAAGTTGACATGCTCTCTGAACGCTACATGCCAAGCAGTGGAAGCAGACAAATAACAAAGAATTTCGAAGCAGCGTCAAACGACGACTGGTTAAAGGTGAATTAGGCGAGACTTTATTTATAAAATTGTTTATAGCGAACTTATTTTTTTAAAGATCATTAGAAGAGGGTGGAAAAAAAATGAAAATAAAATTTGGTTTCTCATTTAGCAAAAAGTTTTTTAAAAAAAAATCATCCAGACGGAGGAGAAAATAAAATTATATTAGTGAATGTAAACAGTGTAGTAACAGGATGGTTAAATGCTTTAAATTTATATAATTAGGAAGAAATATATATATCTTATTACTTTTGGAGATTTCAAGGCATGGGCATGTGTAATAAAAATAAAGAAAAACGTTAATTTTTTTTTCTGAAATACCCATTTTTTTTCATGGCAGCGGATGCACTAATTGGCCAAAAATAAAATTTCATTTTTATTTAAAATAATTATTATTGGCAGGCAGTGGGTTCGCTAAACAATGTGTAAAAAAAGTCCGGCCTTAAGAACATTGTGTTGTAGTGGTTAAGATGCTTGCCTTCTAATTCCATTGTCCTACCGGCCAGCTCTCATGCATAATACGCGAGTCTCGCGCATCAGCATCCACTTTTTGTGTGTTACGTCTACATAGTATTATCTCGCGCATCCTTAAACATGTTTATAAAGGATAAAATGTATAGGCCGATTATACTCTAAAATTCATAAAAATGAAGTGAATCTGTCATTAAAATGTAATACAGGTTGTAGAAAATTCTTTTAAGGATGCTAAATCGAACATGATGAGTGTAATCCATAGCAGTTCTACAATTTTCACTTAGAATTATAAGTAAGCTTCTACATATATGAAAGTAAACATTATTTCTCTTTTTCTTTAAAAGACTGGTGTGGTTCATGATATTGTGATCAATGCCAATCCAAACCAGCCACCACACTCTCTGTTCGTACTTTACAAGCTGCTGAGTGAACAGTATACATGCGCTGTATCAGTACATACTCATTCGTCCATCAACGTGTTGCCGTACCAACTACTTGATTGCTTCGGAGAGTGTTCCACCAGAAGGCATGATGCTCAACTCATGCTCACCCTAATATGGAAGGATGGTATGATCATAATCATTAAAACTCAGTGGTGGATTCAAGGGGCCCAGTCGGCCCAGGGTACCACCCAACCCCCTCCTAAATTTTTCAAAATATAAAAAATAATGCTGAAAAAAAATTGTATTCAAATTTTAGTCTGGGAGTGCCATTTCTGGCCATCTAGACGTGCATAATCATAAAATGTCTAACAATGGTGGGGCTCAGGTGGGTAGGCCCTCTATTTATGAAAGTCCCTTACTGGGCCCCCTCTATTACAAATTCCTGGATCCACCATTGAAACTTTTTTCTTTTGAACTTTAAAATGACTTCTGTCAATCTTGATTGATTTAATTAATATGTTAATTAATAGTAATTACATTTAAAAGAGTTTATTATGTGAAAAATGAGTTGATACTACCTTATAAGGTAGTAATACTACCACCTTATCCTTTTGAACTAGATTGTGCTGCACGCAACATTATTTCTAGGCTATGAGGCTGGCTGCTCGAAACTGCAGAAAAGTACTCCAACATTGGATTAGATTTTTGCTCAAATTTAAGGGAATGTGCACTGAGCCAATAGTTTAAAATCCTTATCCAAGAAGACATGGTGTAACTGATATTGTAGATAAAGAAATACAGAACTGTACAGTATGACATTAATGAAGATCATAAATTTATGTAACAAAGTTTGTTGTTAAATCTTAAATTGTTCAATTTTTATAGTGCCTTGTGCAGAGATGATTGTTAGTCCCAACACGCAGACTCCGATTCAAGGTGAAAGCAACGTAGCTCGCTATCTAGCCCGTCTTCTCAATCCTGCGTACGACTCCGGAGACATCATTCAAGCTACAGAAATAGACAATTGGATTGATCTGGCTAGTAACTCTTTCCTCAACGGAAGCTCTCGTGAGCGCACCGCAGCCATCAAGACACTGAACTCTCACCTTGGGAAACAAGATTGGCTAATGGGTGATGAACTATCCCTAGCGGATGTTATGATGTGGAGCGCACTACATCAGTCTGGACAGGAGGCAGAGAGCGCCCCCGCAAACATTCAGAAATGGTTTAAGGCGTGTGGGGTACATCCATCATTTGACAGAGCACAGGGATTGCTATGAATAGAATTGTTTTGGTAATTAATTTGTATTCAAGTAAAATAGTTTTGAGTGTTATTAATTTAATTATCAATTAAAATATAAATACAGTATATATTTCTTTACACCATTGTGGGCGCTGTTTACATGTGCGTCAGCTTGGGCATTCCCACTACTAAATACTAAATATGACCATTAAGTTTTAATTTGAAATAGGGAATTAATTCTGCATCCTCAGTTTTCAAACCCCCCCCCCTG